TTTTTTTTTTTCATCGATACATGTTTGGTGGAGCTCCTCCCCTGTGCTGCTGAGCTGCTGGTGCTCAGGGTCATGGCAGCCTTTGCTGGGCACAAGTGTGTTTCCCCTTTGCTGGCAAAAGGCAGTGAGAAAACAGGGGATACAAAGTCACAGTTGTATGTCTCCATAGCCCACCCTGTTTTTGCATGAAGCAATTGGAAATTGAAGTAAATCTTCACTATAGGAGATGACCTCCTAAAATATTTTGAGTGGGGAACACAGTAGGTCTTGCTCATTAAACATGCATGGGAAAGGCAGTCGACAGAAGAGAGCCTTAAAAGAGCTGGGAAAAGACAGGAGTAGTACTAATTAATCAAAATGCAGATATGTTCTGAAAACAGGAAGTGGTATTTGTCTGCAGATGAGAGGAGGAATATTCCCTTTTTTTTTTTTTTTTTTCTTTTTCAATACTCAATAGAAACCCCACCTAATATAAGACACCCAACCTGCACATTTGGAGTCAAGACTGTGTGATTTCTTGTTTCCTAGGATCATAGAATCACAGACTTTTTTATGTTGGAAAGGACCTTTAATATCATTGAGTCCTACCACTGATCCTTATTGGTCCCTTCCAAACAGACATGATTTCATGATTCTCCAGCACCAACAGTGTGTAAGTATGGGGAAAAGTTGTTGAATTTACCTCTAACTTGAGGAGGGAAGCCCATTAAAGCAAACAGCATTTCCCAGCCTTCCCTAGATGCTTCTCCGTAAAACCAGAAACTGCTTTGTCCTGCACCTCTTCAGGTCCATCTAACCCAAACACATTATCAAACTGCACAGTTTCACTTGCACTTTCTGAGCTGCTGCAGTAATGTCTCTTTCTTTTTCTTTCTGCCTCGCTTTGCCCTGCCTTGCCCTGCCCTGCCCTGCCTTGTAGTTACAACTTCAAAGTTACAGAAATGTGTGTTCTCTTCCATTGACTTGACATTTATGTCATCTTAATTTAAAATTACTTTGTTTCATGTTTCATCCTCTGGCTTCTGTCCACTACATGTTTTTAACTACACTCATCACTTTCTTCTTTAGTCAATATTAGTTGTTATTATATGTTATGTTTATTGGTGGAACAGTACATGCAAATATTGCTAAGCCCTTGCTCCCCACCCAATAACCTGATTCAGGATGACAGATGGTGTTTTCAGTTTCCAAATTCTTTGCTCTCAGCATATCTTACAGCAGTTGATTCTGTGTTTCTAATTTTGTCTGATGCAGGCAGCCTCCCAACCCCAAATGACCCAAGTTTTTGCTTCATTCAACAGTTCTTCACCCATAAAGCCTGAGAACTGGAGCCTTAAAGCAGACACTAGAGCTGGAATCCCACCAGTGTCATGTACCACACATCAAAGAGTTGGAATTCCACATGGCACTCCCCCAAGTATTGCATTATGATGCAAAACTATGCATACTATGGCAATGTGAATATACATGTTTTCTGGCCATCATTTTAGACATATGGAGAGAATATATCTTCTATATCTTTATTTACCCTCTACTCTCATCATGCATATAAAATGAAATGTACCTATTTAATGACAGATGAAAGTATTGAAATGAAAGATGAAAGTATTGAAATCAGCTCTTTCAGGTCAGATTCAATTTGACAAAAGCATGTGAGCCTTGAAGCAAAAGACAAGGGCTGCCACTATTTGTACTTTTAACACCAGCATCACAGTGACTCAGATATTAGCTCAAAATTGAAGCTAGCATTCCAAGGTAGTCATGAGGATCCACAGGAACTTGAAAACCCTCTCTGATTAGCACATGCCTT